ACATGCCAAGTTTGGTCCATTGTTGTTGTTTGGGTTCATTGTGCGCTCTGAATGTAAGTGAACAACTCCTATACATCCCTCCAAAGACCTCTAGTATGTTTTGTTGGTCATGGGGGTTCTGTGTGCCAAGTTAGCTCCAGGTCCATTGTTGGTAGAGTTCAGAGAGCTCTTAGGTTGCAGTTGAACTATACATCCCAGTACCTACAACTCCTATAAATCATGGTGAATTCTCCCCCAAACCTCTCTATTATGTTAAGTTGCTGATCAATTCTTCTGTTTGCTGTGTGCCACAGAAAAGTATAAGAAAAGATTATAGGAGAGGCAGTGGGAGGGGTCATGCTAATTCCACACTAATGGAGAGAGTAAGAAACACTGAGATGTCTGTGGTGGAGGAAAAACAAAAAATCTAGTATGAAATGGCCCCTGTTTGAAAACCTTCACTTGGATGGTGGGCAATATTGTGTTTGTGGAGGACATTAGCAGGACTTTATACATGTTTACGACACTCTCTATAATGTGCAATTTCACTGGAGAGTGGGCCATTGGTGTCTCCTGAGCAATGGGAGCTAAAGTTATTTGTGGAAATGGGAGCCTGTCTGTGTAAGTGGACACCCTAGCCATACACATACATACGTATTTTCATGTTTATTATGGATATAGAAGATGTGTATATCTATTGCTTTTTTATGTTCTAGTTCATTACCATAGAAGTCTAGCAAATATATTACAAAAATACTCCAGCATGACAACAAATCTCAATTTAGTAGAGTATGCTGACAAAATTATGCCCGTATGTCCCTAAGGAGGGCTCCCATCAAAACAAGTTGGGCAGGTGACATGTTTATTAAAATCTATTTCTGTACTTTCTGCAATCCATCTCTTCTGTTGGAGGGTGGTTGCTGCTGCTGCTGCTGCTGTAACCAACAGGGATCACTTGTTAGCATTCTAATTAGTTTTTGGTACAGCCAAATCCCTCTGGGAAATTAGTTTCAACCCGGGTTCATGACTTCACTTATTTTCAGAATACCCTAATTAATGGGCCAGTGCTTCATTAGAGAAAGCAGGCTTAGAAGGGAGCCTCAAAACTTCCTCAAGATTTAGAATTAACTCTAGGGCCTCATCTACACTCTTAAATACAGTTACAGTGCATTATGTGAAACTACACTCACATATAACACAGTTTCAAACTGTATTATATATACGGCAGTGTAGATGGGGCCTTATAATAAATGTATTATGACATTAAGACTTCTTTGCAAATAACTTACCTATATGTCGTGCATTCACAATCTAAGTGGGTCTTTCCCATACTACACACTGCACCATAGCACTTTGGGTCTTCCCTGATTAAAGTAAGCAAGGTATTTTCAGATTTCCATATTTAAAAAATCTGCTAACAAGACCAGAAAAGGGGCTTTTTTAGGAGTGCTTTCTTGTACATGAGGTTCTGCACTGACTACATTTATAAACATGAGTCTGAGGCCTGGATGTTTCAATCTGCTCTTAAGGGAATGGAGGCTCATTACACAGGTCTGTGATGGAAAAAGATATAAGTATTTTTAATGTATTTTAAGTGATACATCTGAAGAACACAGCAAAATGTACCATACACAATTCTTTCAGTTCAGTTTGTTATTTGGTTTTTGCTGGTGTTCCAGTGCAATTTCTTTTAGTGCTTTGGAATATATTTTTGCATTTCATATCAACTAATTAAAGCATTTGGACATTAACCCTATTTCTTATTTTTTGCCAACCAAACAAATCTTTATCACAAATTACAAAACGAGAAAGTCAAAGCAAGTTGTGAAAAAGGTGGATCTGGTGGCACCAATCTGAGGTTATTTTGATTTAGAATTTAAAAATTCCATAAACCCATAAATATATTGTTTTGAAAGTTTGCATGACCCTCTATTTTGCAGGTGCGATCTTCAGTGTTGCTATGTTTTTGCTTCACGTATAGTGACAAACAGATATACACTTTTTAATATTATTTGTAACTGCCTTGAGGATCAGGGCCAGCTAATCACCTCCCAACAAAGGATTTCCCAGGCAGTAAGAAGACAGACCTTGAAACTGCTAGGTCATTAAATGCTAATCAAGGAGGCAAATTGCAACATTCACACCTACCTCAAACAGACAAGAGTTCTTTCTCCCACCCTGGACATTCCACAGATATATAAACCCAATATCCTAGTTCCCAACAGATCTCACAACCTCTGAAGATGCCTGCCATAGAGGCAGGTGAAATTTCAGAAGAAAATGCTTCTGGAACATGGCCACACAGCCCGGAAAACTCACAATAACCCACTGCCTTGAAGATGTTTCACCTCAACAATCAGGATAAAACTACTTTCAGTAAATTATCTGCCCATTTAGAAAGAATAAGGCTGATGAAGAGTTATTTAAAAGCAAAAGAGATACATAAATGGTAAAGGCAGTAGCTTTCCTCTTCCATGATTTTCATCCTTTCAAATAGGAGCCCCCGGTGGCGCAGTGGGTTAAAGCCCTGTGCCAGCAGAACTGAAGACTGACAGGTCACAGGTTCGAATCCAGGGAGAGGCGGATGAGCTCCCTCTATCAGCTCCAGCTCCTCATGTGGGGACATGAGAGAAGCCTCCCACAAGGATGATAAAACATCAAAAATCATCCGGGCGTCCCCTGGGCAACGTCCTTGCAGACGGCCAATTCTCTCACAACAGGAGCGACTTGCAGTTTCTCAGGTCGCTCCTGATACGACAAAAAAAAATCCTTTCAAATTTCTCTGGACCAAAATCAACAAAAGCAATACTGTTTTTCTTGTCAACTGTTATAGTCTTCATATAAGGCTTATAGCATCAAATCATCTCTCCTAATCTTATTTATATACTCAGATGTGTTTAAAGTTTGGATTATATGCCATCCCAGAAACCCCAAACTAAATCTAATGTCAATAGCTTCTCCATTTCCAGGTGAAGAACGAGAGCTGATATTCCATGGCTTTTAGTTCTCTAACAGCAAATCCTCTTATTAGTGTTGTGTCCAATATTATTCACTCTTTTGTCTTCATTCACATAAGAGAGCAAATATCAATGTATTCAGAATATGTGTGCTATGCCAACACATAGTATCATAGCTTACCCGTGAGTCTAAAAAAACTAGAATTTCACTCTTTAAAACACCTCACAACACTTAATTGTGTTATCAAAGGCTTTCATGGCTGGAATCACTAGATTGCTGTGATTTTTCCAGGCTGTACGGCCATGTCCCAGAAGCATTATCTCCTGACGTTTCACCCACATCTGTGGCAGGCATCCTCAGAGGTTGTGAGGTCTGTTCAAAACTAGCCAAGTGGGGCTTATATATCTGTATATATATATTACAAGTATTAATAATTAGAAGTTTTTTAAAACTCTAAAATCAGGACAGTAAATAAAGGACAACACTAAAAAAAACCAGGGGAATTCTAGACAAGAATCAGTCAAGGCCAGCTAACACCTCCCAAAAAAAGTTCCCCCCAGGAACGACTCAGCCAGGTTTTGAAATGCAAGGCCATTAAATGCTTGTCATGGTGGCCAACTGCATCATTCACACTTGCCTCAAGCAGACAAGAGTTATTTTGCCCACCCTGGACATTCCACAGATATATAAACCTCACTTGCCGAGTTTCCAACAAACCTCACAACCTCTGAGGATGCCTGCCATAGATGTGGGTGAAATGTCAGGAGAGAATGCTTCTGGAACATGTCCATACAGCTAGGAAACTCAAAGCAACCTATCACTTAATTGATTTGCATCATCTGTTTGGATGCAACAACTTAATAATATTAGTCTGCTTTCCTGTGAACATGAACACTGGCTTTCACCATGGTGAGAAATTACTATTATCAATTAATTAGCTAACTTTTAAAAAGCTGCAGCACTTTCTTTGTATTTGTTACATACTTTAAACAAACCTTTTGATGAAGTTAACCACAAATTAAGCTCTTGTCTTCCAGAAAGATGCTTCTGAGATTTGGATATTTATTTTATTTTGCACAATTCTATATTAATATTTGCAGATTTAACCTCATAGTATTACACTGTTTGATAGTGAAAATTATTGGGCTGATAACACTGTATAACAAAATTTGAAAAAATATCTGTTCCTGCTTTGAAAGTGCTATTTTCTGTTGAATTGTGCAGTACATACATTGAAATTAGTTGTTATACACCAGAAACTCCGTTTCTGTGGCTGCCACAAACTAAGCTGGATTGGTTGAAACTCTATGAGATATTCATTGAAAAACTATAGCAAAATGTGCTACAGGATGTCCTGCAAAAAGTTTTTGCAGTTTAATAAACTTTCCCCGTGTTTTATGATAGAAACAATTAGGAAATGACATTTAGAAACGAGGAACGAAAATTGTATTACATAGTGTGATACTATGCATGTTTCTTAGGAAATAATCTCATTATGGTCAACAAAGTCTATTCCCAGGTAAGGATAGCAGGATTTTAATAGAGAACCATATGAGGTTAGATGTGCATCCAAACCATAATACAGAATTGTGCACAATAAAATAAAATCAAAAGTCTTTATCAGTGAAGAGGGGGAAGAAGGCAAAACAGCTTTGAGCACCTCACAAATATGATGATTACTGTGCCAGATGATTCCCTACTTAAAAAGTCAATCTTGACTCATGTAAATTAATTCTTTATCAGTTTATGACAACTCCCAGATTTGCTCAGTAGTAGAATGACACTTGAAAATTAAATGCATAATAAAATGTTTGATTGTGCTCATATTTTCTCCTTCATTTCCCATTTGTTTTAAACAGAGCATAAAGAATTGTAGCTGGCTGTTTACTTTTAGAAAACAGGGCAAGAATGATTGATAAAATCATGTTGCCATGCTGCTTCAACTGAAAATGCCAATTATCCTCTCCAAAACAACATTATTACCTGCCTGCCTACCTGGCTTCTCCCTTCCTAGGGTGCATACCAAGCAAGTACAAGTAATTTTGCTTCTGCTTTAAATTTACCTTAGAAGACCTCATATCCCAGGCTTTAACTTCTGGACTGAATCCTCCACAAATAAAAACATTTTGATCGAGAGGGTGAATCTTCAGGGTGCTGATCCGAAATCCATTCCTACTGCTAAAAAGTTGTGCTCCTAATAACAGAGAAGAATGAAAATTACTGGTATAGGAATGATTTATAGTTATAAAATAGTGTTATGACATAATAAGCTTGACAGAAAATGTAAAGTAGCAAAATAATACAAGTATGACAAAGCTCATTTAAGGTCTTACATAAAACCAAAATACGGTAAGTGTAATTCAAAGCGGCATGTCCTTTGGAATGTCAATAGTAATAGTAGTAATGTATAGATTCAAAAGGGAGCCCCAGTGGTGCAGCAGATTAAACCACGGAGCTGCTGAACTTGCTGACCAAAAGGTTGGCGGTTCGAATCTGGGGAGTGGGATGAGCTCCTGCTGTTATCCCCAGCTTCTACTAACCTAGCAGTTTGAAAACATGCAAGAGTGAGTAGATCAACTGATTTATAATAATTGTTTAATATGCTACTGTTTTAATTGTTTTTAACTGCTTTATGATGTTTTGAGCACTGAATTTTGCTACTGTTAACTGCTTTGAGTTGCCCGAGAGCTGAGAAAAGCGGTATATAAATATAGTAAATAAATCAATCAATCAACAGGTCCCACTCCAGCGGGAAGGTAGCAGCACTCCACACAGTCATGCTGACCACATGACCTTGCAAGTATCTACAGATAACACCAACTCTTTGGTTTAGAAATGGAGATGAGCACCACCCAGCAGAGTCAGACACAGCTAGACTTGATGTCAAGCGGAATCCTTTATAGATTCAAATGCATCAGCAGCAACAACAATAATAACAACAACAAAAGCCAGAATTCTCTATCAACTATGTAGTTATGCACTTGCATAGTTACATAGTCACCATAGTTATGTGGTATCTCCTGGCTCGAACCCCATTCCACTTACCAGACAGGAGCCAACGCTATTAATAGGGGTTCCCTGCTGACTGGGATACAGCTGACTGACATTCTCACCGCCTCTCATGAACAATCTGCATTGCAACAGGCAGAGGCAGTTCCCAGTTGCAATTCTCTTCACACTTCAGATTGACAACAAAAAGGAAGAGAGAGATGGGAATGTTAGTCAGCTGCTTCCCAGTTGATGGAGAACAGGCCCTGTTGCTAGCAGTGGCTGCTGCCCAATAAGTGGAGACTGGGGACATTCACAGTTCCTTCATATTCCCAAAAGAAACCAATCTGAACTGGTTTTTGCAAATATGAATCAGACAAAATTCATAACTCAGGTTACACATTCCCAACAGCCTTACTGAATTCTGCCCAATAAGTTTGAATATATGTACCTACACACACACAACACACATTTTACTACCCTATAAACTCATGTATATGTCTAAAACATTTAGCCAGAAAAACAACCCCCAAAAACTGAGTCAACATACCAATGGGTCAACATGAGAACTGTACCTTAACTCATATTGAAAAAAGGAACCATTTCCTTCTCATAGAGTGGTAAAAAACAAGAGCTTAGTTCGTTCCTGGGGAACCAAAAAAAAAAGCACCAACCCACTCTTCTTTCTCCATAGTGGTGCTACTTCTGACTTTTTTTGGATGCCTAGATGAGGAAATACAGGGAGGCTGGTTCCCTATGGTGGAATTGGTACTTTTCCCTTTCCACAGTATAAACCACGATCCATCGAGGGGCCATCTAAAATTCATAATTTTAGCCAGAAAACCTGTCTTCGACTTATACATGAGTATGAGTATATACAGTAGTAGGAACACAAGACTAAAAAGATGTTGAAAATGGTGATGAAGACATTCTAAGGAACCTTAAGATTCAAGATTCAAACTAACAAACACATAAAACATAACATGCTAAACATCACTGTGACTGGGGGGGGAAAGAAATAAAGTTTTGATGATAAAATGTGACAATCTCAGAGAATAGCAGAATTGAAAACAAAGAACAAAATTAAGAAGTATTAAGATATACAAATTGGGATTCAGCACCTTTGAAGAAAGAAAACAATTATAGTTCCATTAATGGCAGATGTTCTGGAATAATGCACAACAGACTGACAAAACATAAGAAGGGATGTCAGAAACACCAGTCCAGAATTACAAAAACGGACACTACTTGGAATGTGTCACATGATCTAAGGATGCTTAGGTTCCTGGGTAGAATCCAAAACTTCACTTGGTTACACCTAGCAGACTGGGAACCCAACAATAATATTTATGTATAAAAAGGCGTTTGTATGCCTGGTGCATTACAGAATGCAAGGGATAAAGAAGAAACAGCTATGGGGGGAACAGGGGAAAAATATGCAGTTTAGTTACACTTGGTTAGGCTTCTTTATAGTCTGAGTTAGGATAGAAGAACTGCTAAAAGGCTTCCTTTAAAAATGTGGGATTTGAGGAGGGATTTAAAGGAAGTGGAAAGGCATTGCACAAGTGTTCTGTGTGCCATTTCCAAGGATGACAGGCAATAAAGCAGAAAGGATAAGGACTTTTGTAGGGCTGGTGGAAATGGAGGAACAATTGGGTATTAGGGAAGGAAAAGTGGGGACTTTGAAGGCAAGGAGAAAATGCTTATGTGTTAAATCTAGGATCCCACAGGAAGCCAAGGCACAGACTTAAAGAGGAAAGTCCTGTGATCAAAACCACAAGAGGGATAGATGCTTTTAGCACCAAATATGTGGGAACTGAAGAGCAAAAAGGGTAATGGTGCAGTAATATAGGTCATGGGATATTCCAGTGTATCTATATTTTCTGGTCCAGCACAAATGCAAGCCACAGTTAGTGGTTTGCATTTGAGTCACACCTTCATTACACCTTCATTACACCTTTGCATTTGAGTCACACCTTCATTACACCTTTCTCCTCTCGTCTGTATATCCATCCCTTTCCATTTTCTAATCTGGATGCCAAAGCTATGTACCATTACGTTAATCCTGAGCATACAATAAGACTGCAATTCTGGTTTTGACATCAACTATGATTGATGCATTAATTTTGGCAAAGACAACAGTGTTGTTACAGAAAGGAACGGGAGTTCATATGAAAGAGGACTGGAGGGAAATGGAAAGAGAGAACTGGAGACATTACAGACTTAAGCCACACAGTACTGTAAAGAAAAGGTGATATTATCACCCATGCTTTAGGATGCTAAAGGCTACAAAGGTAAATCTATATGTATTTACAAAGCTTGTAGTTATGGGCTCCTGGGATTAAGAGGCAAAGTTCTCCAGTCTGATATCAGAAAGATTTACAGCCAGATCCCCATTCCATGTCCGTTCCAATATAGATCTGCCCTTAACCCCACTGTTTGCCCCTCCTGAGTCTCCCCTCAGACACATTACTCCATTTATCTATATCACCTAGGGTTTTATCATTTTTACCCCTTGCATTTGGCCCGCCCACTGTGTTTTCTTCTTTTGATTCTTCTACCAGTTTGTTTTATTGTATATTTTGCTATTGTATACATGGTACTTTGATGTTATTATTTGCTGTTTGTACTTTCTTTTGTTTGATTGTAATTTTTGGGCTTGGCCTCATGTTAGCCATCCCGAGTCCCCTTGGGAAGATGGTGGCGGGGTATAAATAAAGATGATGATGATGATGATGATGATGATGATTATTATTATTATTGCAGTTTTGAAGGTAATACTGAAAATGTAGCATAAAATAATAGAGTTGGAAGAGACCACATGGCACATGTACTTTTCAAAAATATCTGCCTTTAATAGTTATATACATTTGCAAACAAATACTTTCATTGTTGAAACAAATGTGAGAAGAGCCATAAAAATGACATAAAACAAGTCAGAGTGTATTGATGAAGCCCATTATTTTTACTGACTTTTTGTCTATCCTGAGTGAAAGTATTCAGCCTGTTCTAGACTGATTCCTGGAGGATTAAATTCCCAGACTAGTGAATTCGAACTAGTTCCATCTTGCCTTTGGAAGCCAATGCAACATTTGAAACACATTTTACATTTCCCCCATGTCTTCTTCTAGATCAGAGGTTTCCAACCTTTGGTCCTCCAGCTGTTTTGGACTTCAACTCCCAGAAATACCAGCCAGTTTACCAGCTTTTATGAATTATGGGAGCTGAAGTCCAATACTTCCAGAGGCCCAAAGGTTGGGAACCACTGTTCTAGATTGAGGTTATCTAAAGAAGTGCACATTCTTGTGGTATGAGTCCTTGGGTTTTTCTGGTTTGGGGGGAGTTATATGGAGATATTTCTTGGATTCATGCTAGAGATTTCCTAAATTGCTCCCTCCCCAACTTGACATGGTATTGTGAAGTGACCCTAAGTTTTGAAAGATTTTCTCCTCTCTGAATTTGTTTTTAAGGATTAAAAATTATTATCCATAAGTGCTGTTTCATTTATGCATTATAGCACTACAACTCTAAAAAAGAAAGGAGGAAAAGAGAAAGAAACGTATGATCCTAATATGTCTCAGAATTTTTTTAAAAACCTCCTGAGAGACAAAATAGACCTGGAGCTGGAAACTGCTGAAAAATAATCAAGGAAAATAGAAACAGTTTACATACAGTAGGGGGGAAAAGTATTTAGTCAAATACCAATTGTACAAGTTCTCCCACTTTAAAAAYAATGAGATAGGCCTGTAATTGACATCATAGGTAGACCTCAACTTTGAGAGACAACATGAGAAAMCACATAAATTTGTTAAAAATCAGACAATGTGATTTTCTGGATGTGTTTTCTTATGTTGTCTCTCATAGTTGAGGTCTACCTATGATGTCAATTACAGGCCTTTCTCATCTTTCTAAGTGGGAGAATTTGTACAATTGGTATCTGACTAAATACTCCCCCCCCCTCCACTGTACCTATTTAAAGAAACAGTGTAGCAACAAATATCACAAGCTCTCAATGCATTTGCTACATCTGGTGGAACCCCAAAACCCCAAAACCATTCTCATGATATCCTGTTTGGTTTATGGCAAACCTGCACAATCTCTAAGATCTTCTGGGGAGGCTCTCCTCTCACTCTCACCACCGTCAAAAGCATAGTTGGTGGGGTGAGAGAGGGGGCCTTCTTGGTGGTGCCCCCCCCCCAACTCTGG